GGTCTAACTAGACCAATCTAATTGTAGATGTTGTCTGAGTCCACCTAGCTGAAAGAAGTTCAGTTTGTAATCAATCAAGTTCAAAAAAAGAAGTTTAGTTTGTATCCGTTCCGATTTGGCCCGGGTGATCCCGTACAAATATTTCCTTTCCGCTGTCGTTTACCTCAAAACAAAAATTCGCCGCCGCCGTTTGGAGCTCCAACTCGGTCGCCATGGCCTCCCAACTAGGCTCACCGTCGCCGTGGATGGCGCCGGCGAAGTATGATCCAGCGGCCACCACCATCGCTGACATCAGCGACGACCTCCTCCGCGAGATCCTCCTCCGCCTCCCCTCCCTCCCAAGCCTCGTCCGTGCCACCCTCGCCTGCCGCGCCTTCCTCCGCGCCGCAAAAACCTCCCCCGACTTCCGATATCGGTTCATGGCGCTCCACCCGCCCCAGGTCCTGGGAGTCTTCGAAGACTCGTTCTGGCAGAGAGGCACCCCTGCCTTCGTCCCCTTCGGAAGCCGCTCCGACCCGGACGCCGCCGCCGCCGTCAGCGGCGCCGATTTCCTCCTCACCCGCCTCCCGGAAAGCAGCGGCGGCGACCCCGGGTGGGAGATCAACACCTGCCGCGGCGGCTACCTTGTCCTCCACAACCAGAAAACCAGGCAGCTGGCCACCTACAACCCCCTCACGCAGGCCCTGGACGTCTTCCCCTACCCGGCCCAGGAGGCCAACTGCCATCCCCGCTACCTTGCGTGCCACATCATCTTCTTCAAGGATGACCCGATATACTTCGGTGTGGTCTGTGTGCGCCGCCGCCGGCGCCGGCTCCGGACGCTGGCTCGCTTCTCTCTCTTCTCATCGGACAGCAGCTGCAGGGAGTGGCAGAGCATCCCTTGGGTGGACACCTCGACGGGGCAGCTCCCGTCTTGCCCCGACACGCTGATGGTGGATGGATTTGCCTACTGGAAACACATTGATCAACCCTATATAGTCGTGCTCGACAACTCGACGCTGGAATTCTCTCGACTGGATTTGCCGCCGGGCATGGAAGACATGCAATGTGCAGAATTCCTACTTGGCCAGACCGACGATGGGTATCTCTGCATGGTTTACATATATGAAGACACGCTTGTTGTTTGCGGTTGGGGAGACGCTGGTGATGGTGTTGACGAACTGATGACATACAAGGTTTTCCCACTGAGTACAATTATCGATGCAACTATGTGTTCGGAAGAGTATGGTGTGCAGGTTTCGGCGGTCGTTGTGGGACGCGGATTTATCCTAACCAGTTACCCGCACAACTCGAATCATTGCCGTCCATCTGGGAAGCAGTCAGATCAACCTACCCCACCACGGTCTCAGCATGCACTGTATTCTGGGGCATGTGATATTCTGACATTTGTATAACGAGCCATATCGCATTGGTTGTGGGCCAGTGGCCTAGTGATTCTTCTGCCATGTAGTAGTACTGTTAGGCCAGGTCATTTTGATTCCCCATGTGGACAGCGATGTGCAGCATCCAACATCCATGCGTGAAAACACAATATGTGTTGCGAATGATTTTTTTAGTCTGCTTTTTAATTAATCACACGCAGATGTTTAGCCTGGTCGGGTTAATTATATCGTACTATCAAACAAGTTTTTTGGAGGTTACGTTATAAAGTGTTGTCGAAAAGATATTAAAGTTACATAGAGGCAGCCATAAAGTTCTCTGGTCGGTGTGTGCGCTGCCATCTGCCTATGGGCTAGACTGTACAGTCTATGTGCATGCACTGGGGCTCCATCTACTGCACGCCTGCACCCTCATTGGTTCGGGCTACATCTACATTCTAGTTCGTGTTAACGCAGGAGATGGCCGAGGCCCTTTTTTTGAGAAATTTCGTATACCAATAAACGGATGTCAAATTACAACATGAAATCACGAAAACCATGATAAAAAAAAGAGAGAGGAGACATGTCCAGAAACATTTTCAAGAAAAATTTATTGAAGAAGATTACTGCAACAACCATCGTTGTCACTTGACATCTTCGGAGACGAAGAAAAGGCCTGCCGCCTGCAAGGCCATTGTCGTTGTGGCGCGTCGACCGGGGATCATCCCCGTGCTCCTTGAAACCCAAATCCACTCTATGCCATCACACGAGATGTCGTCGAGGCAAAACACCGGAACTGTCATCCACAAGCGTCCAACGTTGTTCTTGGACCTACATCTTCCCCCAAACAAAGACGACACCACACGAGATGAGATCCGTCATAGAGACAATGGTTGTGGCCTGTGGGAGTACCAGTGTTTCGGGCTACTGACACTTTATCATTTCATCCACAGGCTAGCACACGGCCAATATTGATTGCTGCGAATATTAATTATCCCGCTATTATATTGTCAGTGCAAAAGTTTTCCAGTCATGAAGGGGATCAACATGGGAGAGGAGAGTCGCGATCTCGAAAAATAAAGTGCACATCAATGGTGATATGTGATATAGTCATATGGGGTTATTATCCGAAAAGCCCAATGAAATTTGTCAAGACAGTATTGTATAAATGCCCTCGAAGTGCCGGATGGAAGTTGCCGAGAATTGGTTATATAAAATGCCCACTATATGGCCGGGGACAAGAGGCTCGCAATCAGGAATATAAAGTGTGCAAGTACGGTGATATGGTATACAAGGTCTAGTGTTATCAGAAGTGATCTTGTATGGTAATACCCCACGAATTGCCGAGTAACTATTCGAAGAGCCCCATGGAAGCTTCCAGGAATTGGTTATGTAAAATATCCATTGTATGAAGTGCTCCTAATATAGCTTCTAACTCCAAAGTTCTTCATGGTCCAGGACAAAGGCCCGCAATCAGGAAAATAAAGCGCGCATCAATGGTGATATGTGATATAGGGTTAGTATCCGAAAAGCCCAATGAAATTTGTCAAGAGAGTATTATCTAAATGCCCTCTAGATGGACACCGACACTATAAGGAGAAGTCCTTCGTTGAAGACCATATGAGTGCCAGAATTCGTTAGATAAAGTTCTTATTATATGGTCATTACATATAAAGTTCTTCCTTGTCGATAACAAGGGAACTGCAACCAATAATATGAAGTTTTGTACCCAGGCCAAGATCACGGACAGGATCACCGCACAAAAGACAGGTATAATGGTCCAGCAGAGAATTTGCAAGGCTCCGAATGTCACCATCAGATCCATCCCCTCTAATTCTTGCCAATATTCAGTCCATGTACACAAAAATATCACCTCTGATCCAGAAAACAACACACGAATCGAGTCTTCAAGTTCTTCGCCTTTATTCATTACCATCCGGTACTGAATCTACATCCACGAGCACACAGGATCAAGTCGTCACATGAGTACAAACATGGACAAAGCAGAACTCTCTCTATCTTTCTCTGATATTTTTCTAACTGGACCAAATTTTAAGAATGCAAACTCGTCACGCATCAGAGGCGGTGGTCGGGAAATTGAAAATACAAATGAAGAACATAAGAGCCGCAAAAAGCAAAGAGGGCTACTCTCCCATTCTTCCCGAACAAAAAAAATACTCGCCCATTTGACAACCAAAAACACGATGAGATTATCTGAATCATAGACCAAAAGAAGCAGGTTAAGCCATTAAGAAGCATGTTTGTATATGAACGCACCGGGTATGCGGGATTAAAGTGCATCAAGTAGGGGGTCTATCTTTGTGCAATCGCCCGGTGCTTTCAGTAAAGTCCTTCGTGTTTGTACACGAAAGCACCGGGCATGCTATATTAAAGTTTGTCATGTGGGGACCTATCCTTGTGCAATCGCCCAATGAATTATGTAAAGTTCTTCATGTTTGTACACGAACACACTGGATGTGTTGGATTAAAGTTCATTAAGTGGGGGTCTATCTTTGCGTCCGGCGCTTTCAGTAAAGTTCTTCATGTTTGAACACAAAAGCACCGGACATGCTATATTAAAGTTTATCATGCGGGGATCTATCCTTGTGCAACGGCCCAGTGAATTATGTAAAGTCCTTCATGTGTGTACACAAACGCACCGAGTATGCTGGATTAAAACTCATTTAAGTGGGGTCTATCTTTGTGAAATCGCTCGGTGCTTTTAGTAGAGTCCTTCATGTTTGAACACGAAAGCACCGGGTATGCTATATTAAAGTTTGTCATGCGGGGACCTATCCTTGTGCAATCGCCGAATGAATTATGTAAAGTCCTTCATGTTTGTACTGACCGATATAACAACAAAGTTCTTCTATGTCGAGTGCAAGAGGCCCGCCTTTGGGTACATATGGCTACAAGCTTTAAAGTTCTTCGCAGTCAACCATAAGAGATCCTTGTGCAATCGCTGAGTGAATTATGTAAAATCCTTCATGTTTGTACTGACCGATATAACAACAAAGTTCTTCTATGTCGAGTGCAAGAGGCCCGCCTTTGGGTACATATGGCTACAAGCTTTAAAGTTCTTCGCAGTCAACCATAAGAGGACCGTAACCGAGGATATAAGGTGCACATCAATGGCTATATGGGACGTAGTGTGTAGTGATGACAATATCACAATAATTGTGCGGTTGCACTAGTAGAAAAAGGGTCAAATGTGAAGCACATTAGTGCCGTTTTGAATTTGAGCCGGCACTAATGTGACCATTAGTGCCGGTTCCAATGGCTAGGCGGGCGGGCATCATTAGTACCGGTTCGTGGGTAATCTTTAGTACCGGTTCATGCCACGAACCGGTACTAATGAGGCTGTGTCAGGCTATGGTTAGTCTGGGGCCCCCACGAAGACCTTTAGTACTGGTTCATGCCATGAACCGGTACTAGAGTTTCTTTGTAAGCTGATTTTTAGTCCCACCTCACCAAGAGAGAGGCAGTATGAGCGGTTTATAAGCCGTGAGTGCACAGACAATGACGAAGAGTTGCAATGCTCACCTACATGTTGATTAGCTTCAAGCCTTACGGAATAGCATAGATTGCACTGAGCTATGTGCAGTGCAGTCTACACTATTCCGAATGGCTTGAAGCAAATTAACCAGCATTGCACCTCTTTTTTATTTTTAATAACTTATTTGAACTCCGGACTTATTTTGTGTTAAGTATGCAGCATTCAAAGCGACGTCATCAATTTCCAACATATTCTGACATCATTTGTTGTTTTTCGGTCATTTACCTAATTGTTTAGAGAGCTAAATGACTGTGAAATTGAAAATCACTACAAAATGAATCCTGAAAATGTTGAAACTTGGCACGGTATCATCATATCACCCGCATAGCATGCACGAAAGAGTAAAGAGGGTCACGGCAAAAACTAGATGCACTTCGTGTACAAACTGGACAAACTCTTTCAGAGTATCAGGGTTTCGAACGAGAACTCATCTGTTACATGGCCACTTCAATGTTTTTTAAACTTATTTGAACTCCGGACTTTTTTTGTGTTTAGTATGCAGCATTCAAAGTGATGTCATCAATTTCCAACATGTTCTGACATCATTTGTTGTTTTTCGGTCATTTACCTAATTGTTTAGAGAGCTAAATGACCGTGAAATTGAAAATCACTACAAAATGAATTCTGAAAATGTTGAAACTTGGCATGGTATCATCATATCACCCGCATAGCATGCATGAAAGAGTAGAGAGGGTCACGGCAAAAACTGGACGCACTTCGTGTACAAACTGGACAAACTCTTTCAG